GGGGGGGGGGGGTTGGACTAATTTGCATATGCATTTATTTCATGCTTGTGATTTCTTGTTGTTAGAAAAACGCCAGCCTTATAGGTTAGTTTTTTCCCTCCTAAAGCACATTGAGCAGTCATAGAACATTTTACAAAGTGTACAGATCTCTTCCTTCACATTTTAATGATCAGATGATAAGATGATAAGTGTTAAAGTAACTGAGCTTAAATTGAATATTAAAAGCTGCATTTAATTTCTTCTGTATACTTTTAGTGATTAAATTTATATAGCTACTCGACTAAATTTTTTCCTGTACTTAATTTTTTGGGGTATCATTTATTTCCATATTTGCTTGAAATCTTAGCACAGTGTTCGAGCCAGAAGATTTTATATAAAGCTTGAGCTAAATTAAATAGTTGGCGTGAAATGGAACCTAGCAGCTTAGTAGTTTTAAAATCCTTGATAGTTTGGGAAGCATAAATGACTCAACTGTACGAGGCAAGGTATTCCCCGGATTCAAGGTACCAGTCATAGTAAATGTGCCTTGATGACTAATTAAACACTTTTGGAACATAAATATTAAGCTATTGCACCAAATTGGAAATTGAATATCCATGGAGTGCAGCGTATAGTTAAGTGGATTGTCTTGACCAATGAAAATGAAAATTTGTATGTCTATTTTTTTAAAAATGTGCTATGTGTATTTGAAATTCTGTACTGGTAAGGTTTTTGGAATGTTTATTTGAATCCACATGTGATTAGAGTATCTTAGAACGTGCTGAATTATATTTAAGGAACTGCATGCAACTCACTGATTTAGTTCACTTATTATTGGGAGTGAGAGCTTTTTGGTGGGTCTAGTTCAGAGAAAACAGCTGATTGATGTCCAGCTTCTGTAATGACAGTGGTTGAAACAGATTCTCTATCCTGATTGTCCAGGAGAGTCATTTGGGAGCTTTAAAAATACCAAAGTCTGAGACCATTTAAATAAGCGTCTCTGGGTTTAGGGCACTGACACTGGTACATCGTAAAAGCTCTACAGGTAATTCTAAAGTTTAGCTGGGATTGAAAACCACTGGCTTGAGAAGATGTGTTTGAGTACGTGTTACTTGGTATGGTTGTCCTCATGAGGCAAACTGCTCTCTTAAAGAAGGAACAGCTATTTTTCCTTGTTTTATTTCCAGCAAGGATTCCAGGTCATTTTTTAATTAAGGTTGGAATTTTAAAGAAGGTTTGAAAGCCTCATCATTAGTCCCTTGGTCCATTAGCGAGGAGATCAAAATGGTTAAACTCTTAGTATATATGAAATAATTGTAATCAGAGCTGACATTTGTTAACTGCTTACTCTGTGCCAGTCACTGGGTGGCTAAGGGCTTTTACGTACATTATCTTATTTAAGCTTCATAATAACTTAGTAGTGACTGCCATTTTACTGATGGAGAAATGGAGACAGGTTAAATAACTTGTATCGATTCACAACAGTTGGGTGGCTGTGCTGCGAGGAAAGAACGACTCACTCTCCCACTATACTGTGCTGCCTTGACTTTACACAGTATTTCCTTAGAAGACATACAACTGCCATGGAACTTACTTTGATTTGCTATCTATTAGAGGAAAGTGGCCCCTTTATAAAGGACATTGTTTATTCTTGGATTTATTCTTCAAATGAATTGCAGAGGAATAAAAGCTTATTAACTTGTATAAAATGCCGAAGATATAAATGGTTGTTAAAAAGCTGTATTTTAATTTTAGATCCATCTCACATTTTTAAGGCAAGGCGTGGACATGCAACATGTTCGTTCTTTCCACCCCACAGGCTTATTTGACTTTGACTTTTAATAAACGAAGCTGGAGGTGGATAGGTATGAAGTGTTACTTTTCCGGTAAAAGTATACACTTGACCCTTGAACAACACAGGGTTTATGGCCGCTGACCGCCCCCCTCCCCCCAGTTCAAAATTCATGCATGGCTTGGCTCCCCCAAAACTTACAGCCTGCTGTTGACTGGGGCACCTTACTGATAACATAAAGTCAATTTACGCATATTTTCTATTGTGTATGTATTATGCCCTGTGTTCCTGTAGTAAAGTAAGCTAGAGAAAAGAATATGTTATTAAAATTATAAGAGAAAATACATTTACAGTACTATAAAAAGTCCATGTGAGAGGACCCGTGCAGTTCAAACCTATGTTGTTCAAGGCTCAACTATACTTTGTATTTTGAGGAATATTTTATTATGTTATATTTTACTTTATTTATTATCTATTTATTTATTTTGAGAGCGAGAGTGAGAGAGAAAGGGGGGGGGGAGGGAGCGAGCGGCAGAGAGAGAGGGAGAGCGAGAGAGTCCCAAGCAGGCTTTGCACTGTCAGTGCGGAGATCGATGAGGGGGCTTGAACTCATGGAACCATGAGATCATGACCTGAGCTGAAACTAAGAGTTGGACGCTTACCTGACTGAGCCACCCAGGTGCCCTTGAGGAACATTTTAATTTTTTGGTGTTCTTACATATTCTAACCATAAAGCATTGTAATTGATGTGTTTATTTTTAAATCGGATATTAGGCATTGAAGTGGATGTTTCAAAGTTGTTATTTTGGAAAGCTATATATTTGTTTTGGTGATTATATGGTTTCTAAATATTTTAATAAAACATCCTATGTATAGTTTTTCCTATCAGTTATTTTGCATTTGACATTTATCCGTGGTACCATTTCTGTTTACTTATCCCTATCCTATTTATTCCACATTTGGTATCTTAGAAAAAAAAGAGTATTTACATTGTCACATGGTCTTCCTTGTTTATAGTTACATTGTTATGAATTATGGGTTATCATTTGGGTGTATGTTATCTTGAAACTACTTAGTTTTGGAGTCACTTGATGAAATCAGTTTGAGGGGGAGTGGAAGAGAGTGGAGAGAGGTGAAGTAAGGGGAGGGAGGGAGAGAGGAAAGGAACGGACAGACATAGATAATAAATTAACACAGATTGAATATAAGAAGCTAACAGATTTAATAGTTACTCTTAAGGCTTTGACCTCACAGTTGTAAGTGTCGTATGTGCATTTGCAGATCACTTTAAAATATGATGTGGTTATACTGTGGGACGTAGACTAGATACCTGGCGTAGGTGCCATGTGGATGGGATTCTGCATTACATACCTTTTCAAACCCTTCTCATCCATCTCTCCTTGGACTCTCTCGTTGTCTCTCAACTGGGGCCTTCTCTGTCCTGCTTCAGCTCTAGAATTTTGTTGATATCTTGCTCCTGTTCATTGTCCTTCTCCTGTTCTTTTGTGAGTTTATATATTTTGAACTCTTTTCCCCTAATTTTAGAGTGAGCCGAGGAGGCAGCCCATCTGTGCCCAGTATACATATTTAATAGGAAAACTGCCATCTCTCAATTTTATGGTATCTTTTCACTGTACCAAAACTAAGTATTTTTTTCTTTGCCAAATGTGGCATTGTTTTTCCTTTATGGGTTTTATGCCAAATTTAGAATTATAACATTATAAAAATAACCAGTAGTTTTATAGTTTGAGGGGGTTACATTTTGATTACAACTGTGGTGCAGTAATTGGTTGTTACTCAGTTATTAAAAATGTACTGGATGTATAATATAGAAGTGCATTTTCTCCACTTTTACTGAGAAATAATTGGCATCCATCCTTGTATAAACTTAGGACATTCAGCATGATGGTTTGACTTACATATATTGTGAAATGATTATCACAGTCTCGTCTCAGTTAAAAATCTGTCATCTCACATAGATAAAATGTAAAGAAAAGGAAGAAGAAAACAGAGAAAGAAAAACATTTTCTCTTGTGATCTTCAGATTTACTCTTGTAACAACTTCCCGGTACGTCATACAGGAGTCTTAGCTGTAGTCGTCATATGGTATAGCAGTGCGTTTTGGGGATGAAGCTGGTGAAGACGGGTCTCTGCCAGTCCCCAAATCCATGCAGATTAATGATAGCAGAAGTTATTTTCAGAAGCGCAGGTTAGTTTTTCTTACACTGTGAAATTCAAGCCTGCTTTGAAATTGAATTATGGGTGAGATTATTACAAATCGATTATTTGGGACTACACTGTACAACCCTTCCAGTGCAAGACAAATCCTTCTTAGGCCACATTTTGTGTTATGGTAGCTCAAGTATGAGGAATTCTAATGCGTCTTGGCTTTGAGGAGGTACATGAACCAACAGGGCCTTTTCTGTTATTTAGCCTGCTTTTCTCATGTCTGCTGATGTGATCTTCCCCTGCTCCCCCAGATAAACAGGGGTCACATGACAACGGAAGCCAAGAGAGCTGCAAAGATGGAAAAGAAGATGAAAATTTTGCTTGGGGGTTACCAGTCTCGTGCTATGGGGCTTATGAAACAGTTGAATGACTTATGGGACCAAATCGAGCAGGCTTACTTGGAGTTACGCACTTTTGAAGAACTCAAGAAACACGAAGATTCTGCTATTCCCCGGAGGCTAGAGGTAAACATCATTGCCTTGCAGCATTGCTTAAAAAGAGAACTGCAAAAAATTACCAGGGCTTTCCTGTTTTTTTCTTTCTCCTGTGCAGATTTATCTCTGAAGTTGATACTGTCTGGCTTTTTTCAGTGAGAGCCTGAAGTTTTTGACTTTCTTATCTAGAATTGTCTGTGTATAGGTGGATAGACCAGGCCAGTGGTGGATACAATGGCTTTTCCTTTACTGATTTTCTGGTTTGCATATAGATACACGGTGAAATAGAATAAGTAACCCTTGTGATTTGTCCCCCTGAAACCTAATTGCATCCCATTCTTACAGCTCTCTGAGGTACATTAAACCGTTGTCTGTTTTGTAATTTAGAATGCTGGAAATATAGCTGGTCATTGTACAGCATGAAATTCCTCTGGCCAGATCTGGTTTAACTTTTATTTCCAAAGTGTGCATGATAGTCCCTACCCAGATAAAGGGCCGTGAGGGCTTATCGAGGTGCATTTGTGGGTACTGATAGGGCAGCAGTGGCTTGTGTATTTGAGCTAACAGAGATTCTCCCAACAAGATGGTAGCCGTATGACCAAAGAACGGTTGTAGTACTGGCTTTAGAGCATAAGTAGTTGTTCTTCCTTGTTTCTCTGGGGAATACTTCTCTCTTAAGAGTCATGACTTAACCCTTCTGTTCGTAAGATGATAAAGTGCCATAAGATATTTTTAATTTTCATTGTGTGCTTACATACGAAATAATGATTTAATATTTTTGTCTCTTCAAGTGTCTAAAAGAAGATGTTCAGCGACAACAGGAAAGAGAAAAAGAACTTCAGCATAGATATGCTGATCTGCTGCTGGAGAAAGAGACTTTAAAGTCCAAATTCTGAAGCATAGTTTATACTCTGTCACAGGATGAATTAATTGCTGGTTTTCATACTCTGGAAGGCTGAAACTGATGATTATCTTCATTGACAAATTTGCCCACGATCTGTGGTTTTTCAGTTGTTTACTTTAAATGATATTGATCTTACATAGTCTATGTATAAAGACTTTAACTCCACAAAATGTTTTAGGGTTTAAATTATTAAGATGATCATTCTTTTAGCAGTGTCATATTTGCAAAAATTTTTTTAGTTTTGGCCTTTAATTTTAAAAGCCTGGTTTTAAAGTGCTGCCTGTGAGTAAACTCTTGAATAAAAACAAAATAAAAAAATTGTGAGTGTAGCCTTTTGTTTGAAGTAATTAGATACTTAGAGTGCCCACAAACCAGCAAGCATGTACTCTGTGTCATATTTAATGAGTAACTCTTGGGTAATCAGAATGGTGATCCGGTATCTTAATTCCTTCAGAGGCAGTCCTTTTGTGGCCTCGCTAGTTTTAGCACAGGGCACTCATTTCTCTATACACTGACAAGATGGATTAACATTTTAATACCTCAGGGTTTGTTTTTTTGTTTTTTGGATTTTTTTCAAGTATAATTTTAAGAAGTTCTCTTCTTTGCCCAGCTACTCACACAGTTTATGGATTAGGACTCAAAAGATTTCATTTTTATTGACCTGTTAGGTTCTTTTAAATGTCTTTTCTGCAAAGGTGTGTTGAAGATTAATTTCAGTAAGGCTATCACACTTTATTAAAGCTTTGTGTTTTTATCCTAAGTTAATTACACAAGTGTAGAATTTTGGGAATTGGTAGAAGTGGGAAGACCAGACTTTATAATTCACATGAAGTCGTTTGGGATAGTTATTAGTTGGCTACAAGTTCATTATAGACCAACAGTATGTTGGACATACCAGGAATATTTCCCCATCTTAATCCTAGGGATTAAAAGGAGGGAAGGAGGGATTTATTCAGTTATCAGGTAATTTATTAACCGCCCAGTGTCAGAGTCATGGAGATAGAACAATGAGTAAAGTAGGTATGACTCCTAGTTTGTGGAGCTTACAGTCCATTGGGAATGATGATAGGCGACTAAAATTCAGATGTTTTTTGAGTGACTCTTCTTAAGTGCCAGACACTTAAGTGCTGGAGATAAAGAGTTAAGACAAACTTCTTGCTCTCATGGAGGTGACATTAGTGGGAGGAGATACTCAACATACAGGGAAAAGTATCAGATCATGAGCTTTGATTCTATGGAGGGAATTAAAATCGGGTGATGGGAGACAGTGACTGGATGGCGACTTTAGTTTGGATGATCAGAAGAGGTCTTTGAAGGGGTAACATTTTAGATAGGATGTGGGGAAGAGCAATGCCGGCAAAGCGCCTTTGGGGTATTTGAGGAAGAGGAAGGAAGACAAGGTGGCTAGGGTGTCAAGAATGGCATTTGAGTAAGGCCTGGGCGTATAGGGGCATATGTAGAAGGCTTTGGTAAGAAATTGGTTTTTACTCTATTATGGGAAGCTGTGAGAAGATTCTGAGCAAAGGAATGGCATCAGATTTGGTTTAGAAACATCCTGTGGTCCTAGTGCATAACGTCTCACCAGGCTGACGGGGGGTGGGGAAGCCACTTAGTTGAGCATGAAGGTAATGGCAGACGAACAATAATACTGACTCCAACCAGGATAGAGGCAGTCCTGGTGGGGCAGGTGCAGGGACTTGAGCAGTAATCAGTATGTGGTCTCCTCAGACTATATGTTTTTCTAGTTACCTAGTCACTTTAATTCTAGAACTTTTTTCAATAATTTCACATGGGTTTTCTAGGAAACACTCCATCATCTGTGAATAGCAGTAATGTTTCTTCTAGTAGTTTCATTTTTGTTGCATATTTTGTTGGCACAAATGTTTAGAACAGTTTTAAATGACGATGATGGCAGACATTCTTGTTTTTGATTTTCATGGGAATGTCCGTAATATTTTCGTTTGAGGTTAGCTGTTTTGAGTTCTTCTTTATCTAGAAAGGAAATACCCATCTATTTTTAGTTTTTAAAGACTCTGAATTAGGATTGGCTCTGGAATTTTGTCACATACACTTTTTGGGTATCTTGTAAGATAGTCATATAGGCTTTTTCCATTTAGTTTGTTGATGACATCATCAGTCGATTTTTCCAACATTAAATTTTTTTTTTTTTTTTTTTTTTTTCAACGTTTATTTATTTTTGGGACAGAGAGAGACAGAGCATGAATGGGGGAGGGGCAGAGAGAGAGGGAGATACAGAATTGGAAACAGGCTCCAGGCTCTGAGCCATCAGCCCAGAGCCTGACGCGGGGCTCGAACTCACGGACCGCGAGATCGTGACCTGGCTGAAGTCGGACGCTTAACCGACTGCGCCACCCAGGCGCCCCTTGATTTTTCCAACATTAAACCAATCTTTGAACTCCTGGAATCAGGTAGATAATTAAAAAAAAAAATTTTTTTTAAGATTTACATTTTACTTGCGTCTTGTGTAGACTTGAATTATATGGATTTAAAATAGTTGCTCTCATATTAAAGGCTCCCTTTGTTTTCAAAATCTGAAGTAGTACACACATACTTCCAGCCTAAAGAATGACCACGGTTTGTGTAATTTCATAACTGGCAGTCTGCATCGTGGATGGCTCATGCTTTTGCTTTGTAGCAGTGAAGCTTTAACTGGTAGGGAGTTCTGCCATCCTCCTCTGTGAGCATCCTGTAAAGCCCAGGGTTCTTCACCAGTACCACTCTGAGCGTGATTTTGGTGACTGTTTTCACATTCACATTTATCGTATTCTCTTACAGGCATTCATTGAATGGTTGTGGTAACATTAGTGTATCACGTTCAAGTGGCAGTAACTTTGGGACAGACATTAAATGTGATAAAGAGCCCTCAAACCCGCCAGCATGAGTGGGATCTCCTCTCTGAAATATTAGAAATGATGCCGCGTTTCTGCTACCATCAATTGTAGACTTCTGCTGGCCAACCGTTTTATTCTCCTGATTTTTACATTTATTTTTCTGGGAAAATCCGTTGTGAAATTTGTGACGTCATGCAGTGCATTTCTCCTCAAATGTGGCCGCCCTATTGGTCTTATAAAATTTGATTTGCTAATATGTTATTTAGGAAAATGGCACTTTTACGTGAGTGAATTTAGTCTTTTGGGCTCATGTCCAATTTTTGGCGTAGAGATTTTGCTAGCTGTATGAGGTGAATAGGATAAATATGGGTATTTGCATCAAGCACGTATATCGTTGGGGTGACTTGTTCCACTAAACATGGAAGGATTGCGCTTATAAAACTTTTGAATTGAGAGCCCTGTTTGGAAGTCATTTCTTGATAACTCAAGTTTCTTCTGTGACTGTTACCTATTTTTAAACTTAAGTATTTTCATATCTGATTTTAAAATTTTGTTTCAAATGTATTTCTCCTTTAAATACACTTTAAATCCTCCTTTAAATACACTTTAAATACTCCTTTAAATCACTTCTTTAAATTTAAGTGATTTATGTTTTTCCAGAAAACTGAATTTTGTTGAAATTTAACACATTTATTAGCAGAGAATTGGAATAGGGAAGAAATTTTCTATATTAAGTTTGTTACTTTTAAGTTATAAGAAATGACCTTTTCTTAGTTTGACCATTCCTTTTTTTCCTTGATTAGACTTGATAAAGGTAATCTTTTTTCCCTTAAAAAAAACCCTGCTGTTTGGATTTATCACGTGTGATTTATTTTAAAATATTTTAATTTCTCATGTGTATTTCTTTTGTTTTCTGTAGAATTTTTCCCTGTAACTTTTGGAGTCTGATGTTTATTTTTTGTTTTTATATGTATACAAATGAAGGGTTTTAGTTATCTTTAATTTCAAATATGTTCCTATCCCAGCTACATTGATGTGTCTTTTTTTTCTAAGTAGTTTATCATTGTGTTTAAACTTTTGGTTAAATAATTAAGAATATTTAAAAATTTCTGTGTGGTTGGCTTTTTTTTGTTTGTTTTAAATAATTGTTACTTGTAGCAAGGAAAAATGGCTTATGTAGTTTCTGCTTTTTAGAATTGATTGAGGTTTTGGGGCCCAGCATTTTAAAAAAGCATGCTATGGATAAATGAAGGTTTATTCAGTGTATGTGGGACAGCTGAACACGTACTGAACCACTTTAATTATATGATTGAAATTTTATCTTCTTATTTTTGGGTGTAAACTACCATAGACTAGTAGTGTTGTCTTAAAGGCTTCTAGATCGTTCTTTCTCCCAGTTTTATCTTGTTTGGAGCTTTTTCTTTGTATATTTTGATATGGTTGTTTAGTATGTAAATACTTGTGTCTATTGGGGATCATTCATAAGACAAGCAATCTATAAAGTTATTCTTTTTGTCCTTTATGTGTTATCTCTTTGAGATTGGAATATTCTTTTTTTTTGTTTGCTTATACTTGCTTGATAAGTTGTCTATTTTTTTTTTTAACTTTTATATAATTTTTTGTTTTCTCTAAAGAGCATGTCTTGTTGGATTTTATACTTCAACCCATTTGGAGAGGTTTTGCAATTTAATAGGGGAGACTAATCCATTTGCTTTTATGTTAATTACTGACTTTGGTCTTTGTGATCATGTTTTATGCTTTCTCACTGATTCCTCTCATTTCCTAAATGGGCTATAATGCCCTGGGCTTTAATTTTCTTAGTGATTTAGGAAATATGCATTCTCTTTTAAGTTTTACAGATGATGATGGTATCATTTAGGGTTCAGGATCCATTCAGGACAAAGAAACCATACCAGTAATTTGAACAGGGAAATTTAATACGAAGAATTATTTGCTAGTAACGGGAGATCGATCACTAAGAGGGACAAAGGCAACCTTAAAGAATGTAGGACTAGCAGATGTAGAGAGGAACTACTACTTGTAGACAGAGAGTACCTAAGTAGGGAACATTCTTTTTTATGGCTGAATAATATTCTTGTGTGTGTGTGTGTGTGTGTGTGTGTGTGTGTGTGTGTGTGTGTGATGTTTTTGTTACCTATTCACCCACTGATGGATACCTGTGTTGTTTCCACATCCCGGCTATTGTAAAGGGTTCAATGAACACGGGGGTGCAGATATTTTTTGGAGTTAGTGTTTTCATTTTCTTTGGATAAATACCCAGAAGTGGAACAGCTGAATCATAGGGTAGTTCTGTTTTTAATTTTTTTGAGGAAGCTCCGTACTGTTTTTTATACTTGCTGCACCAGTTTGCATTCCTG